TTTTTTGAGGGCGTAAATTGATGTGCCTTTTCAGGAAACAAAATTTTTGCAATATAAATTAAGTCATAAGAAAGTCCTAACTCTGTGACTTAGTAATTACTCCTTTAACCACGTCTATTTACTGTGATACTGGAAGTCTTAGTCAGAGCAATTAGTAAATGAAAAGAAATAAAAACATCTAAATTGGAAAAGAAGAAACAAAAGTATCTCTGTGTTCTGATGATGTCATGTTACATGTAGAAAATTTTCAAGATCACACACACACACACAGCTACATCCAATAAACGAGTTCAACAAAGCTGCAGGATACAAACCAACACAAAAGTCAGAGAAATCAAGCCCATTTGCAACAGAATCAAAATATTGAAAATATAAAACATTGCTAAAATAAATTAGATACAGATAACTGGACAGGCATTCTGTGCTCATGGATTGGAAGACCTAATTTTGTTTTTAAAAATGTCCATTAGCCCAAAACAACCTACAGATTCAATGAAATCCCTATCAAAATCCCAATGACAGTTTTTGTAGAAATTTTTTAAAAACCTAAAGTTCAGGTGAAATCTCAAAGGCAAAACAATCTTGAAAAAGAAAAACCCAAGTCAGAGATTTCACCTTTACCAATTTGAAAACCTTTTTGTTTTGTTTTGATCTGGTTTGGGGTTTTTGTGAGACGTGAGCTTGAGCTAGGAGATTAGGGCATAGGAAAGCTGGCTGGGGAGGTGGGCGTGAGCTATTAATTACAAGATGCCAGACACAAGCGCTGAAGGGTTCCCAAAGCCCTGCACAGGGAATTCTCTTGAGAACTCAAGCATATTTTCCAGGATGACCTAGACTTGAAATCACTCTAAGGTGGGGGATCCCAACAACCCTTCTCAGAACCCCAGTGTAGGACTTCTCACAGGTTTCTTCGAGATTTGGGCAGCATAAAAGAAAGGCAGCCATGAGGAGCAGTGCTGTCAGAACTTTCCACAACAGCCCACACTGTATGAGGATATACTTTTATCTTTGTTTTACCCCCTTTTTCTCTTTATTCTGCCCAAGCTCACTCTGCAAAGCCAGTTTCTCCCCCACTCTTCACTTCTACTTTCTTGAATAAACTTTGCCACTGCTTTTTTGTTCATTTCATTTAATTCTTTGTTTGAGATAAGAACCTAAAATCTAACTCCAGAAGGACAGTCAAGCTACCCAGAACCTGGTAATTTTTAGTTGGCAAGCCACTTTTAGAAGCAGGCTACACAAGAACAGTCTTGCTATGTAATTCAGACTGGCCTCAAATTCACAGCAATCCTCCTGCCTCTGCTTCCTGAGGGCTGGGATTACATCCGTGTGCCGCCGTGTTCAGCAAAAGCATATTACAGCTATCATGGCTTTCCTTACAAGACCCACCCTGCTTCCTTCTGGATGTGCTTTTATCTCGCTTCTTTCCTCTTTCACTTGGCCTAAGCTTGCTATGCAGACCCGGTCCCTCACACACACTCTTCACTTTTACTTGTTCAAATAAACTTTGCTGCTATGGAAAAAAGAAAATACCACAAAACTACTGTGATCAAAACAATGACGTGAATACAAACACTAATGGAATTGAATAAAGCGCACATAAATAAATTCTCACTCTTGGTGAAATGGCCGCAGTGTTCCACATCTGTTCAACACATGACGCCAGAAAAACTGAATGA